CCCCCCCCCCCCCCGCCGCCCCTAGCAGGTAGCATTGTTGAATTGGGCTTGGCTTTTTCCCATCACCAAATTCCTCATTTGCCGCGCACACTGTATAATCCTCTTTGTCTACCCTCTAGGTACCCGATGTTGCGACAGCTTATTTCGTACTCATCCGCAGCATCACCTACGATTATCCCGGGAGTATTTGTAGGTTATTGGACACGAATTTCACCGACTCGCTCGACCGATTTAGTGTTCTTCTGCGTTTCGGCTGCTTTCAAGATGCATCCGAGATAGCCACTATTCGCACCTTGGACACAATTGAGTATATATTGAATTTCTGCTTGAAACGGTCCAATGGAGATCCAATTAGGACAGCGCTCGTTGAGCGCTTGAATCTTAATGAAGACTTAATGGAAGATTTATTTAAACTTGTAATTGCCAAGTTCCCGCCATTAACGGAACTCCGGGAGCGTATTACTCAATGCATTACCGCCCTGGCACGATTGAACTCGGTAAGAATAGCTTCTACAAAATTTTCGTTGCTTTTTTGTGCAGTAATTATTTTCATTTTCCCTTCATCTGTCAAAATTTTCCATAACCTATTGGCCACTCTACGAGAGAGAGAGAGAGAAAGTGCCGGGGTTTTCCCCCAAAATCCGCTCAGGGCTGTTAAGTGAAAAGTTCCATTTCATGAAACCCAAATGACCGCCCACCCAAAAAGGCGTTCATGGGCGATATTGCAGAGGTGAAATATTTCATCTAAGAAGAACATATGTGCTTCTGCGTGGGTCAAGTTGTAAGGCTGGTCTTTAACTTTAACTCCAAGTAACCGCAGTCTTTCGGGAAAACCCCGGTTTAATACGTTTTCTTTCTGAAGGGATGTTCTCAGTCATCCACTTAAAGCGCGCAATAGGGGCATAGTAGAAAACTTCTGAGATCGATGAAATATCGAATTCTTTAATCCTCATTGAAATCATAATTTGCATCTCCTTTTTAGGCTTACTTTGGACAGGCAGCAGCTAGGTTCGTGGGAAGATTCAGTTGCCGAGAGAGATTGGAGACAATTTTCCATGAGTTAAACCAAACTATAGAGGAGTTTGATGGTAGAACCAACAAGGAGTGGGAAGAACGCCTTAAAGTGCATTTCTTCGAATTAATTATAGCCCTTCGACCCCGTATTCGACTCAATGGAACTTGTCTGTAATTGGCTGCTTCTTTTGCTTGTGTTTTGTTGTTTAATCAAGGGACAAAATAAATAGTTTTGGCTTTTGAGAGTTTTTTTTTATTATTTCATTTGTTGTCGTATTACCGTTAGTACGAAATAAGTATTCGCGTTTATAGATGAGTAATGCTGAGTATTCGGTTGCAAATCGATATCTTCCACTCCTTGAGTGTGAATTTTATGCAAATTCTCCGAGTTCATTCGAAAAAAGCCTTATTCCGATATTCTACAGTCGACGAGAATCGAAGCCGTCTAATTTCGATCGATCTATTGGATGTCTTCCTGGTCTCTTTGTCAAAGTAGTATCGGACTCTACACTACCTAAATTTGAAATATCGGATTTGCGTCTTTTTCGCTGTTCTGGTAATGAAAATCTAATGATTTGCATTACAAATGATAACTGCGAATTCACGATTGACCGAAAGTTGATGATCAGGCCATTGTCCAGTTGCGCATTTTCATGGACTTTTATAAAATCGACTAAAAAGTATATTTTTGCCGTGATTCCGCCTCCACAATCATTCACCGATATTTACCTTCAGATTCACACTGCTGATTGGATAGTTCACCTCGCAAATCCTCTCGACCTTGATGACATTAAATCATGTGATGAAGAGCCGGATGGAAATGTAGTTGAAGATGCTGCCTCAGAGTTGACTCATCCATGGAAGTCTGTTTTAGAATGCGACTTAGAGGAATATAGTGCAAAAGAAATCTTAAGGAGAATCTTCAGTTTTCACGCTGTTCTCGGTGAATGGGCAACCCTTCGGCAAGGCCTATTCAGTGGATGTAGAGTTCGTTTGAGTCGAAGTTCAACTGGGAAATTAAATTTAGAGGCTTTATCTTGGTAAGGAAATGTCAAGTTTTTCTATCCCTGTTTTAAGTCATAGAAATATGCACCATCTACTTATTGATCGTCTTAAGCGGGAGGGTTTCGTGGTGCTGAAAGGTTCATGGAAATCTTGCGAATCTGTGGTCGTAAACCTCAATGACTTTCGAGATGCACTCCTTACTGAATTACGCTTGCTCAAATCGGCATTTTGTGGTCCATTGATTCGACATATTATGGAATCTAAACTCCCTCTCATTACAGACGCTCTCCCGGGAACGTATTCCGCTCTACAAGTTGCTAGTACTCTTGCGAATTTGAGGGATCTCGGGTCTGGGTGCAAGCCTATTGATCGATCAGTGATTTCTGAGGTTGTTAATGAAAGGAGTATTGGCGCTATTGCTTCAGCGTGTGCTTCTACCAATTCTATTTTAAGTAGATTATCTGTCTAATTATTGTACAATCTTGTAATATATTAATCGCCTTGTTCCCCTCCCCCCCCCCCCCCCCCCCCCCAATTGAATCTTAAATCGTCTATTTATTTGCGCAGTCTATTTGTGCATCGATCGGGTGAATGGTGTGAATAGAGATTGGATTGAAATGCTTGCTTCGCTTTGTTGATCTCTGGTTTCTGTTCAAGCTGCCTTTTATTCCGGTGAGCAAGTTACTTCAAGCGTACAATCGAGTTGGGTGTGCAATCACCAAAGACTAACCCGATGTAATAGTCTTCTTTAAGCTCTGAAGTAAAGTTTAACCCTGAGTTTAGTGGAGAGTAATGGTGGAATTGGACATTGGAGGGGGCTGAACCAAGTTTAGCCACTGAAATGGCAGATGCAGCGTTTTGCTATAAATAAGTGAGTTGTCTACTTTCGCATTCTTAAGTTATTTCAATGCAACCAATGGAATCTTTATCCTAACACTATTATAACTCAAAACTGAGTCATACATGTATATATTGGTTGCGTCTTATGTGCGGTCCTATCGGGACTTTATGGGATCCTCAAAGCCGTGTTTTGGCTCATCTAAACACTCAGAATCCTCCATTTATATAATTTTGAGTCTGGGGTGTGGGATAGACTTACCTCCACGTGGTGCATCCTGGGCAACGTATACTCATATGGCAAAAAAGTCTATTAACAGGCAGCTGACTTCTGAGTTCAGACTATTATGACCCCACTGTATGCCATATTCGACCACTTCGACAGTACTCGCCTCACCTTTCATCCACCTTTGTGTCTGTCTCTTTTACATCTTTAAAACACTCTTCTGTCCCCCCCCCCTCTCGAATTTTGTCGCTTTGATGTTCCTCTCCCTCTGTGAAGCCTGAGGTCAACTAAAGGGCTAATGATAACTAGCATGAAGCCTCCCATTTGATGTAAATAATACATTCCTAATGTTAGTAATGAACCGGCCCCGGGAACACGCAATTCTGCCATTCCTTTATTAGTCCCAAGCACCATGGTGTCAACTGGGGCAGGTAATTTAAGGGAAATGGGATTAAAATCTTGGCCTCCTGGGTTCTACAGACGACAGGTTGATATTTTAGGCGCTCCAGTTCCCAGTAGGAAGTGGTAATCCAGTAGCACAATGGACAATTACTCGTTACCTGCCCTCTCCTTATTCCAGATATAACTATTCTATAATCACCTCGCTTTCTATTTCATCCAATAAAGATCGATGGAGATGGGAGGGGGATGGGGTATGAACTCGAAGAGCCCCTCATTGTTTAAAATAACAAAGCAAATCTGGTATAACATATTTGGTAAATATATATTATCACAAGTTAGCGATGGTCGAGAAATTCACTAGTCGGCAATACAAAGGGAATACGAGAGAAACAAAGCCGTTATGAGCAAATATAAGAAAGGAGCCGAGGGGGGGTATGGGGAACGGAATTCCCGATCAATGGGATACAATACTTTGCAAATATGGTAGCGCTTTGATCGATAATATATCTATATATGTAAGTCAAATTCAACCAGAAGGACAGGCTCATTGGAAACGAAGAACGTCGACTCCAACGTGGTTGCGTTCCCTAGGCTGAGGGTAGAAAATGGCGAGTGAGGTTAATAGAGCAAAAGAAATGCATGGAGAGAAATCTAACACACAGAGCCACAGCATGCATAATTATTACAGAGATAAATTTAATTTGTGCATATAAGAACACCTAAAAGTCACATATATAATGGTCAAGCCCACTTTCGGTTTGTCGATCAGATTTTTTTACAAATCTCAGCAATTTCCACTCACCCTTCTATCCACACCACTTAAGAATAGTACAGTAACCATAGAGAATCTGATTTCCCTAATATGAATTGTCAAGAGCTTAGCTGATTCATTCGTTACAAATTATAGACTGGAATTGAATCCTGCCTGCCTCTCATTACTTGCCGCGGAGTCTTATGATTTCTAGTTTTGACAATATTATTGGATTGGTTCAAACACCACCCTCGATATATTCAAGCGACAATCTAGATGGTACTAGTCACATCAGGTGCAGTAATCATTGCACCCATCTGCCTTAGCAACGGTCATGGATTGTGAGTCGCATCGCGCATGCCCAGTAAGCGAAATTCTCCTTTTCCACAGAAAACACTTTGTTCCGTAGGTGTGAGAAATAAATTAAAAGCACTTGCACAACTTTAAATCAAAACACACAAAACTTTAAGCGGATGCGCTGAAGCAAGTAGACTTACTCCTTAAGATGTCAAGGTCAACATTGACATCACATTCATTAGCATACACATACAAAGCGAAAGATAATTCAGCTGCGTAATGAAATTCAGTGTATAGTATACAGCGAGGAGCTTTATAAAGTATACACATTATTCACAACACTGACGCGAATACATAGCGTTTTTAAAGCGTGGAACACAACCACTTAACCCAAATTGCGCGCGAACGCACACACACAAATTTGAAATAACGGACAGAGGAAATTCCAGACATACCTTTGTCTATTACGCAACTGGTGCGATATTATCTTCCTGGACATTAAAATAAATGTGCGAGAATTAAAAAAAATAAAAAATTTAATCAACAGGCTATCAGATGAATTGGGAGGGATCAAAAGCGTGCACAATACAAAGAACTAGAGGACTATGACTAACACTTGCGTCAATTTTAAGCTCGTAGACCCAACGGCGGCTTTAAAAGGTAAGGAAACAACGCGTAATAACAAAAATGACATGTAGTAGTGCGTGCTTCCGAAGTGAATTAACAAATTTGACAATGAAATAGGCATCACTACTTAATTCAAGCTTTTAAGCAGCATCATGCAACATTTATTTCTATGTGGGAGGGAGGGACTAACCACGGCATATATGAAGCCCACTTGTTGTGTCTTGAAAAAATTAAAAGTACAAATATATATAAGTATATACGTATATATTGTCTTTGTAAGTAAAATAAATAGGTTAAAAGTGATGAGAAAAAGGGGATTATAGTGGTTTAGGAAACGACACAACGATCATTGATTTGTGCTGCATATCGAAGTCGACAGACCTACTCATTTTACTTAAGTAGCATCACACAAACACGCAATTTCCGGATTCATCCCCATAGAAGCCCAAATGAAATCTTGTTCGACCCTGTTATGTGTAAGAATTGGAAGTGGGGAAGGTGGGTGGGGGTTAGAAAATTGGATAGGAAACAATGATAAATAAAATTAGTTGTGAGCTGCAAACAATCGACGACCAATAAACAAATAGAACTGTCCTAAGTCTGGCGAATGATATTTACCACAAACCTACATTTTAGTTAATCTACCAACTTACGTAGAAAGAATGGGAGGTAGAATATCCTTGCAGGCTAATGATTTGTGCACAGAAAATTTTAAGTTTGTTTTAAAAAAATAACATTTCTAATTAACCTAGGTTGTCCAAGTGAATAGTCAAATAAATTCTACTTTGAAACTAATAACTTTAAAACTAATCCTGGATTGATTGTATAAACTAGTAATGAAATCACACGATGACTAATAATTTGACTAGACAATCAAAAAATGGAGTAATTTTCTAGCGCAGTAGTTAAAACTTTTTTATCGCAAGTACAAAAATGTTAAAAAATATACCTTTATTTCATCAACACAAGAAAATCCAATTGGAGGTTGTTGAGTTGGAGGTTCCCACGCATTATCCTTATCATCAGTTAGTTCCAATTCGCTGATAACTCTTGCCTCGTGTCGAGAAATTATGACAAGACTCCTAGGCATATCAGGAATGCACTTGGCCAAGAATGCACACAGAGCTAAAGCAACATTCTAAAAAAAAGCAAAGCAGAGAATTTTACTCAAGTAGACAAAGAGATTATGAAAACGAGCACATTACATACCTCAAAAATGAACACAAAGGCAAATTTAAAAGCTAGAATATGCCAGTAAATGGGTGTGTAACTATAGGGGTCTGCCGCTGTTGGTGGTTCACGGAAATCACGATACCTTCAAGGAAGGCAAAATATTCAATTAAATTAACACTGTCTTCTTTGTAAACGCAATGGTTATAAATATTTAAACGCACCGACAGTATGTAGAGTTCCCAAGCAAAGCTTCGTCTTTCGCTGTTAATGTGAACCTCGAAACATTCATGTAAGAGAGAGAGAAGTCAACAAAACCTTCCAAATTTCCACTGGGCGAATAGTAGAATATGTAGGTCATTCGTGCCAAAAAGTCCGAGGTGAATGCGATCAAGCAAGCCTAGATACACAAAAAATTAAATTAACTACTGAAATTCAAATAAGTAAAGTTAGGATTAGGGTATGATTACATTCGTTCTAATAGCCAGGCTCGACACCACACTGAGAATGCTAAACCAAACGCCAATCCCCTTTTCTCGCTTTATGGTAGGTCGACGCATAAGTCGTATGAATTTCTTGGCGTCCGTACGGATTTCAACCACGTTATTTAGCAGCGCAAATAGCGGAGCAATCGGAAAGGCGGGAACAAACATTGTAATGAAACCATATTGCATCACTAAAAGTCGAAAACGGCAACAACAGGTTTCTTCAACTTGAACAAACAATTAATGTTGAAACAGGTATTCTAAGATTATTAGTGTAGAACTTACACATTTCCAGATATTCCTCAAACAGAGGCCTTGAACCACCATCCAAGAGAGTGTAGTTAACTCTGCAATTGTAGAGGATCGGCTTACCGGAATCTGTCAAAGGAATCCTTTCTGGCTCTCCAGATTCAATTGACCCGTATTGAGGTTGATTTTCAATGAGCCCATTTCTCCCCTTGTTGCTTCGGCGTTGAGCAAAGTACACCGAGAGACATCGTTTGATTGGTCTGTGAAAAGACACCACAATATCTTTGTGATTCCAAATAGACTACTCCTCCTCCTCGAAGAAAATACCTGTTAGATAGAACTTACGGGAGTGTATTCTCAGTGAGGAAGTTAAGGAACTGTTTGCCAACCATGATGATGGCTAATTGAATGAAGAGTTGGAATAGGCAATTTCCGTTGTCGCACTATAATAATAGCAAATAAGATAATTTAGTTTGCAATTAGCCTAAATTGATTGACTTTTTCGATTAATACAATCATGCTCTTTACTCCCGTTTCGTTATCATCCATTTAATCAATAAAAAATCCTCCAAGCTAAATGTTTTTGATACTACTATAAACGCAAAAGTAACAATGTTGTGTCATCGAGTCTTGACAGAGGAAAAGCAATGATCGACAGTCTGAGAAATTCGTTTCAAACGTAGGATGAAATAATTCAATCTCCAAAAAATTATTTTACTGTAGTCCAATGGTCTATTCTTTATTATTTTTTCTTGTAAGGATATTATCAGCCTTCCAATACCCCCCAATAACATGGCATATACTCCTCAAAGTTTCTAGCCAATGCTTCTTTTAATCAATTTATAAATAATTATATTATTTCCAAAGAAAGATTAACTTTAATGATGTAATTTGATCAAGGGTTGCATCATTTTCGATACCACATTCGCTAAAGGAAATGAACCGAAAAATACAGTGGTGATATTTATGATACCAACTGGAGTTGCAGTTGATGCCGATCTGCACCCCAAAAGTGTTTCACAAAAGTTGTACCGGAACCTTCCGAAAATCCGCCCAGGACGCTTATTCGGATGGGCGAACTTTCGGAAAAGCCACGGTAGATATTGATTCTCAAGAGCAAAGCTTCGTATTTGCTTGAATTTGCAAAAAAATAAAAATAATCGAGCTTTACAAACAAGTTTGCAATTTTGTCAGAGGTTAGAAAAAGGCGAATACTCTCATATGTACCTACTTCAATTGACAGCTTGCTTTTCTCAAGTCTTTTATTTGTGATTTACGCACTAGTAAGTGTGTAATAAATTGTTTCAATGATGTTGCATCAACTCATCGTTCTCTCTTGGTCATCGATTACACGCTTTACACCTACAGCAAGCTAACTGAGCCCAACTTTTGTATGCGAAAAACTTTCGAATTTTTTGCAATTTCAGTATAATTGCATCAGCCCTATGTGCAGTCTAGAATTGAGGTTTAGTCTACGCTCAAAGGACCTTTTTCTGACAGCTCTTCAACTCCCATTCTTAGACCACTCACTCTACAAGTCCATCACCATCTGCCTAACTGTGGTCTGAAAGGCCGTTAGTTTGTTACCAGCCATCTTGAGATAACCAATCACAAAGGAGAACAATTTTGACGAGTATTTTAAGCCGTTTTGCTAGAGTTTTAAGCAATTAAAAGTGGACGGAGCACCCTTAGCTACTTTTCGGGCTATCATAAAGGACATTTTTACCCTTTTCAAACCATTAGATTCATCCACGCACTAATACCTTCCCCTTTTCTCCTATTAATAGATTTTGTGGGAAATTCAAATATGTACAAACCCTTAAGTAGATGGGGACAAATAAGTACTAGACAAGGTATTCCCGTGATCGATAAGCAAATTTGTCAATTAACGATAGTAACACTTAAATCAAGTGCAAGAAGAGAGTTTTTACAATGTAACTCATGGATATATCCGCAGCCCAGAGTAACTGCTCTACTGAGCGATGGAATAGTAAGGACATTAGGAGATCGCAGTTGAAGTTGATGACTTACACCAGAAGAACGAATGGGAACACTGTCATCTCCAGGCAAACTCGCTGTAGTTCCTTGAATGAAGGCGATGTAGAAAATGGAAGAGTAGAAGTTGACAAATTGGAGAAGATACAGCTTCAGTGTCAAACTATCATCATACTCAGATTGAGTTCTATGGTTCTCCATATCGGTCAACCTCACAGCAATTTTATCGTAAACCTAAAGTGTCAAGCACATAGGCTTAGATCCAACGCAGTTTGCATTTCGGTTGGGTGGGGGATTGGGGGGGTGGGGGGTGTGGAATGCGATAAACTTACAAATTTCAGAATGAAAATGCAAACCAAGTTGATGCAAGAGCTGGTCACAGTTGTGATCATGCCGGCTACCGTGTTAATAAAGACGTTGTCGCTTTGAAGAAGTAAAGTATTCACCACCAAGCGGTAGAAAATTACACCAATAAGAGCCGCCAAACAGAGAATAACCTAAAATTGAAAGTCCTTTCCACTTAGTTTATTCCATAAGAGGGGGGTTGGGGGGGGGGTTGCCTAAAGAGGCGTTGTCACGTACACCGAAGAGGACTGAAATGAAGGAGAGTGTGGTGACTGGCAGTTTTCTACTCCAGAATGGAATGGTAGGTTCTTCTCGCTATAAAAAATGGATTAAAATTCTCAATTTTTCCTCCTAAAAAAAGAGAACCTACACCAGTGATTATATTAACGGAGGTTTTGTATCCGCGTTTCTTAATAAGTGCAAGAAATTCCGGTCTTGGTGGTTCGTCTATGGTTTCGAGATTTTGGACATTCCATCGGTAGGCCAGAACATTTTGATAACGCTTCCAATTCTCCATAAAAAGAGTAGCTAGAAGGGGAGAGATGATACAAAAAAGAGCTCTAAACAAATGCAAATTGAACTTGCCCCAAAGTGCCATGAACACGGCGAACAAAACAGTGCCCATATTATCCACTAGATGAGTCATTTTTGTCGCAAAACACGACGAATTCAACAGCCATAATTGACATCCTTTGTTGCAAGTTGGACACATAATAATTTCTCCACCGCGATTGCAGACATCTTCACTTGATAAAAAAAATGGACAAAAAAGAAGAAGAATTTACTCCGAAACCGATGCAGAGTTTCATATGAACTGGTGAGCTTTAAAGAAAACCTACACAACCCGATCATCGGCTATATCGATAGCGGAGAGGCAGAAGACAAGTAGGCCGAAGATGCCGACAGGAATTAACCAGTAGGTGTAAAGACCAAGCCAAGCGAAGTAGAATGCGATAGATTCGCCGAAGTAAAGTCTACACAGTGAGAAACGGGTGAATTAGATGAATATAGGAGATAAAAAGAGAACTTGGAAACGCCATTCCACTAAGCAACCAAATACTATACAACCTTCAAGTGATAATACAGAGAATAGGTTAAGGAAATTGAAATAAATCATAGAGAAGCCGATAGCGGTATTGAATGAGTATTTAAATGAAAATGATTAGCCTCCATCCCCAACCCCCCCCCAC